AGTGCTTCAGCTTTCACTAACCCCTGAAAGGTCTCTGGACCAGGAACCATTTTTATCGCAGACTTTTCTCACTTTTATCACAGTCCAAAACCTAAGACTTTTTTTGTAATTATGCAAGTAAGTCCAACAAACTAAAAAAATTTTAAAGAAACAGGTGCAGCTCTGATTATAAAATTATATGCCCTGGCAAATCTAGTAAGTATTAAGTACCCTATTCTACGATTATCACTATTTTCAGGAATAGCATGGTTAGTAAAGATCATATTTTGATACATGGTCCTAAAAAGACCGTATTTTCAGAATGCAAAAGTGATAAAGGCACTTATATAAAAGACACAAAGTAGCCAGGAATGGTGGTGCATGCCTGCTATCCCAGCACTTGGGAAGCTGAGGCAGGAGGATTGCTTCGAGTGTGAGGCCAGCCTGAACTACACAGCAAGACCCTGTCTGAAAAAAACAAAAAAGACACAAGAATAACAAGTGTTTATAAAAAAGAATTTTTTCTTTGCAATGTCTAGTTCTATTTTTTATGCCAGTTTTGCCCCAGATACAAGACAAATCCTCATAAAAAATTTATTTTTTTCTCATAAAAATTTAACTTCTTGACCCTTACCCCAAATAAACATCTAACATGATCATAATGAATATCATCCTATGAGTATACAACAGCATATTTATCAAAAGACAGTCTTATTTTATAAGCATATTCAGCCAGTTATATGCAAGCTTAAATATGAATAATTAATTGTATAATACAGAATTAAGAACAGTATTCCAATTCTCTGACTGCAACTTAATTTTTGCCATAAGACTTTACTCCTCTCATCGCAAAAGAATATTTATAAAATTCTGTAAAGACCTTTGAAAAGAATATATTTATTGGAAAAAGTCAAATATCTGCCTGAGGGGCTGGGGATTTAGCTCAGCGGCAAAAGCGCCTGCCTCGCAAGCGCAAGGTCGTGAGTTCGGTTCCCGGTACCGGAGAAAACCAAAAACCAAAACAAAAACAAATATCTGCCTGAAACGCCCCTGAAAAAAGTAGTTAAAGTAAGCCTCACAAACATTATAATAAGTAGAAGTTGCTATTTACTGAGTATTTGCTAGGCACTAATGTTAGGTATTTTACACATATTATCTCATTTAATATTATGAAACAGAAATCATATTACAAAATAGGCATCATCAATCCTACTTTTACATATGCAAACACAATGACTCATATGGTTAAGTTACTTATTCTGGGGTTTCACAGCTAACAAATGGAAGTAGGAATTTAATTCCGTTTTGTGTGAAGACAAGAGCAGTACCTTTGTGCTTCTCAACTTTTGTCACACCTTAGCACACAATGAAAACGATAATATTTATAAGGCTTATTGGAGTAAGCTGGAGGGGACTTGGTAAAATATTTTTCTTCATACTATAAAGCTATTACATGAAAAATAAAAATACAAAGTATCACAAATGATATTCAATATTTAACTGATATAGCCCTCCAGATTTCTTTTTGAATTACCAAACCATAAGTGTACAGAAGGAATCACACCAAAAGTGTTCAAATATTATTTCAATTATTGTAAAACTCTAAAGTTATGAAAATGATTCAAAATTTGAACACTGTAAAAAATCTGCAAACAACATACCTGAATGCAATCTTATTTACTATACATTGGTTAGGGACCTTTCCATAATTTAATTTTACTTGATAGAAAATTGTGATTTAGCATATCAAGATCTTCTCAATAACTTATAAGGGAAATTCAAACCTAAAGTAATAAAGGAAGAATTACAACACTGGAGATTTCTTTAATTTAGCTTATACTAGTGTCTTAATTGGAATTGCAATAGTATCTGTAATCTGTAACATTCACCTTGACTTAGTAACAGTAAAAGCTAGTATTCATCAAGGTAGTACCAGGTGCTCCGCTGTGCTGTTTTACAATATTATCATATTTAAATCTCACAGCAACTCTAGGAAGTATCTCTATTTTCTCCACTTTAACAATAAAGAAATTAAGGCAGAGTGAAATTAAGTGAGTAATTTTCCCAAGGTTATGGCTAGTAAATGAGAATTAGGATTTGAAGCAGACAGACTTCAGAGCCCATGCTATTTTTTGTTTGTTTCTTGCTTTGTTTTGAGACAGGATCTCGCTATGAGTTCAGTTGGCCTCACATTCACTGTATAGCCCAGGCTGGCCTCAAACTCATGGCAATCCTCCTGCTTCAGCCTCCCAAGTGCTCAGATCACAGGCATGCCCCACCAAACCCATCTCAGAGCCCATAATATTAATCACTGTGTGAAACTACATCCCTGTAAGGAAAACAATACGTGTCAAGAGAGATAAGAGTAACTAGAGAGATCTCTGCTTAAACTAAGTAGTACAAATGACTTGCATGCACATCATAGGAGATTTTCTACAGGAAAATTAAATTATTATCTATACTATCTTAGATGTGTTTTACTTATAGCATAACAGGTAATTTTAATTTCACACATGCATTATACTATGGCTCAAGAAAGAGCAGCTATTTTTGCAACCTATCTAAATTAACTGATTTAAACTTGCTCAAGAATACTGCATTTAAAAAGTTTTCTTAAAAAACAACTAAGTTTGTAAAAATCAAAAACAAATGTTTCAGTACTGTGATTTTTATTTAACTGATTTTCAAGTTCTGTAAGTTACCATGTGCTTAATTGTTTTTAATTAAATGCACTGTTTAAAAGTTCTGCGTAAAGATTTTTCTAGACATCTGGACAAGTTCTGCATGCCCAAGTTCTGTCTAACAAATCCTAACATTTGGAAGAAAGCCTCACAGTATACAACTGAATTACAATAGGCTAATGTACTAAGGGTATCTCCGGTGGCCAGTGTAAAACAAATCACTCACAAATATGGTAACACATCTTTAATCTCAAAGATGTTTTAACCTCATACTTTTAATTTCATAACCAACTGATAAATACAGAAAATGCTAATGCCTTAAGTGTTGTGGGATTTTGTTTCATTTTGGCTTTGTGGTACTGAGGATTGAACCCAGGACTTTGTGCATGGTAAGTAAGTACTCTACCACTGAGCTACACTCTAGCCCTTTTGATATTGAAGAGAGGGTCTTGCTAAATTACTAGTCTGGATTTGTATTTTAGATCCTCTGAACAGCTAGAATTGCAGGCATATGCCACGACACCAGCAAATACTTTGGTTTTTTGTTTGTTTTTTCAGTTGGTTTTGTTTTAGGTAATGAGGCCTTCCCAGTGAGCCACATCCCCTCCCCTGCCCCCATTTTTGGAAGACAGTCTCCCTAAATCAGTGGTGGTAAACCTATGATAACCTAGGGTACATGTGCCCCAGGGGTCTGTTTGTTATCATTAAAAGCTTTAAAAGGTTCCCCATCACTGCCCTAAATCACTAAATGAACTTGTAACTCTCCTGTGTCAGTCTCTTGGAGTGCTAAAATTACAGGCATCAAGTGTTGTATTTTATATCAAACTTCTCAAAGGGCCCAAGGACTAGCATAAAACATTAACTGACTCATGCTGGTTAACAGTAAACACTTAAGGAGCACCTACTATGTGCCGGGGACGGTGTTCATCCATAGAAGGCATATGTAATACAGACAGTGGTTGTCTAGAACCACAATTTGAATTCATGCCTTCTGGGAGTTCAGGTATTGAAAGTAGAAGTTCAAGCTCCAATACACCACACTCTATATAAAAAAAACCTGTCACTAGAACTTGTAGAATCTATGTTAACACGAAGAAACTCTAGCACATTCTGGAGTACAAAATTAAGTCTTGGGTTACAGTGACATAATGTATTTGGTCCTCTGGAGCTCTTTACACAATGAAAATCTGGCATTTCCGTCAAAACGGTTTTTTCTCAAAAATCAATTGTTTTAAAAACTGAAATTCTATTGCTTACAGAAACCATGACTCCTACTTATACTTCTCTAATAGATCTCTTGAAAATACAAATAATGAAGAAATGTGGCACGATTTTATTGGTAAACTAATGCCCGAGTATACGATTTAGTAAGCTTCTCAAAAACTGTAAACTAAATCATGATAAGTAAAATGCATCTGACTGTACATAAAAACCACTTAAACAGATTATCAGGTAAAGGCAGTAGTCCTGAAGCCAGTATGATATTTTGAAGTGATCAAAAAGGATAAAACAGCTCTCTACAAGTTTACAATTAGTAAACAGTTCCTTCCGTCTTACAGTAAGTATATCCAATTCCATAATTTATCCTAAAATAACTCTATTCTCACTGCAAATGATCCCTACCAATTTCTGTCCACGAGCTCTTCAATCACATACTTCAAACAAGCCATTTGAATTTCCTCAGCACACACGAACCCCCCTTCCTTCCAAAAACATAGGAATTATAAAATATTACAAGAATAAAAACAGAAAAGGTGAAAAAGTATATACAGTCTCTGCCCCCGAGGTCTTTCCTTTATACCTAAGAATCTGTCATTTAGCTCAACCACCTACTTTCATGTACCTGGATAATGCCTCCATCTCACTAAGAGTTCACGATGTTCACTCTCTAACAAATGACAGGGTCTTTATGTGACCCTTCCGCCCCAGCTTCTATTTAATCACTGAAGCCTTCCGGCTTTACCCTGCCAATTACGCTCAAACTCACAAACCATTACACAAACACAACAAACACTCTGGCGTCCTCCTTTTACCCAACAAGCTCCAACCCGATGAAAACCTTCCCTAGTACAGCAACACGTCTTCCTTCCATACTCAAAATTCTGTTTGCTAAACGCCATCCCCGCCCCGAGTTACACACTCGCCAGCCTAATTCCTACCACCTCAAAACCCCACCCCCTCATCACGCCCTCCGCGGCCTCAGCCACCAGCCCCAACACCCCACCCTGTAGCCGGCACGCCCTCCCGATCCCTTTGGGGTCTTCTCGGCTGCCCCGGCCAGACCCTGCCCACGCTTTGAACGTGCCCGGCTCCCCGACCACTCCAGCCCCACCCCCTCACCGAGTAAGAGCAGCTTCACTTCTTTGGCCGCTTTCTCTCCGTCCTCCCGCAAGTTGCGGTCGATCATCTTACTCCGCTCCACCGCCGCCTTGTCTTCGGCGCTCAGCGTGCAGCCCATGACGGCGGCGGGAGAGGGAACCGGCCCGGAGCTCACTCACACACCGCGGGAAATGCGGCTTCGCCGGCTGAGACAGTGTCTACTGCGGGGCGGCGGCCCTCTCCGTCAGCAACCCGAGCGCCCAGAGGAACCGGACGTCCGGCGCTTACGCACTTCCGGCGACGCCTGGCGGCCGTTACCACCTAAACCTTTCTTGCTCTGGGAGAGGAGACGAGACCGAAAGCGGAAGTCGGCAGGAGGGGCGCCGGCTCCGCGGGATTGCAAGGTTCTGTTGGGTTCTTTGTGCACCAGCCACCCGTAGTATCCCTTTACCTGTTCGGCTACTTGATTTGGATAAATGTACAAAAGCCAGGGCCACCAGTTCATAGTGCGCTCCTGAGGTCGTACAGCGGATGGTGGGATAGGACATGGGGTTCCCAAATAAGAGCCCACGATCCTCACGATAATTTCTACTAGGGCATTTTCACTGGCCAGAAAACCTCTTGGATCTCAGATTGTGGAGACCCAGGGCGTCTCCCCAACTTCTTAAATTGTCTCACTGATCTACGGGATGGGAACAAACTCACCAGCTTGGGCTCCATCCACTTCTTAATCTGAGATCTGTAACACTGATCATGCCTAAAACCAGCCCTCTCCTCTGACCCACTGCCTCCCCCTCTCCACTTTCGTGCTACTACTCTCCTCTCCTCTTTTCGTGCATTTCTGTGGACTCAGGATTTGACCTGCATCTTTGTTGGCAAAGGGCCACTTTGAAATCACTAGATCTCTGACCTGAAAGGTAGGTGTGTAGTTCACCTATAAAATGCCCGTGGTGCCCATCTCTCTAGTATAAACTTAACTGTTCTACATTAGAAGCTTAGGACCTTTACCAAGAAAGTAAGTTTACACCCTACCCTCAGAAATGAAACAGTGCGTCCTTTGAATCTCCTATGAAAATGTCCTATCGTGCTAACCACACAAGTTGTAATAAAAATTGTCTCTCACTCTAGTATCACCTGAAAATTAATAAATGCCCTGTGAAAGGCCCATACTTGTATCTTCTTTAACTGATAACCCTGAACTACTGTGAAAGTGGCCCTAAATTACCTTTTCTGTCAAATAGCTCCACAATTACTATACATTGGAGGGAAAAGGATGTTTTTGCTGCCTCTAAATCCTTTCCGTACTGTGAAAAAAGACTTTATTTCCCTAACAGAATCTAGACTCAGGATCTAAGGCCTCAATAGAAAGACCTATATAGTGATAATTTTTTTTTTTTTTTTTTTTTTGAGACAGAGTCTCACTGTAGTTCATGCTGACCTTGAACTTCTTTATGTAGCCCAGGCTAGCCTCGAGCTCATGGTGATCCTCCTGCCTCAGCCTCCCGAGTGCTGGGATTACAGGCATGTGCCACCATGCCCGGCTGATTCATTAATTAGAAGCATTTAATTCGCAATTAGTTCCACCTTAAGCAGCCTGTCTCCCATAGCTTATCAATAAATGCCAATTCTTTAAAGTTTGAAAAGTCCCACTCGCTTCCAAGTGACTAATAGAAAAGGAACTGCATTTCCATTATCAATACTTCTGGGGGGAAAAAGCGCAAGAGGAAAGGGAAGTAACACCAGTATTTATTGAGTACCTATTTGCCAGGTATGGCTAGGTGCTTCCAAGTCTCATCTTTTAATCCTCACAACAACCCTGTGAGGTAGGTAATAATGATCCCCATTTTTACAGATGAGGAAATAGGCTCAGAGAAGTTAAGCAGCTTTCCCAAGTTCACACAGTGAGTAGGTAGACCAGTCTTGACTACAAATTCACCCCTCCTTTTTGTACCATGCCCCGTAAAAGATGGGTAGGGCACCTAACAACAGAAAGTCTATGGTTTCCATCAAGGCTGGCAAACCACCCCAGTACCACCAGGATGCAAGAAAAAGTAACTGGCAGGATGGTTGCCTCCACCTGTTGATTCTTCAGTATATTAAGGAGGTTGGACTTTGTTCAAGTGTGTTTTTCAGCGCTAAGGATTATATACTGAACTTTATCAAGCCATCCTGATCACTTGAAAACTATGGAAAGTGCTCATAGCAAAAATTTTTGGGAAAGTTCTCAGCATAAAAAAGATAAACTTTTATTTCCTTCATGATCCATTCTTACAGGGAAAAATAAATGCCAAAGAAACCGATATATGTCAAACTCTGTGGTAAATGCCAGTGAGATCACAGTGTCAGGTAAGCTCAGCCTGATATCCTTGCATTTAAAAAAACTTTCTTCTTTGATGTATGTGAAGGAACAGTTGAAAGACAATGTCAAACAAACAACCAAAAAGAAGGCAAAATAAATTAACAAAATGGCTGCCAAGCAATGTTTGATGCCCTCCCTTTTTCTCCCTCCCACATACACACACCTTTCTATTTCCAATGGAGTCACACTGCCATCTGCTGGCAATGCCTTAGGTCTAGTAGCTGATTAGAGATGTTTGAAAGAAGTTTCTTCGCTAATGAAATTCCTAGGTATGAGTTTATCATAAAAGGGAGTTTTTGTTTAGTTTTGTTTTGTTTTTTAATTGCAAAGGACTTTACTTGCTATATATGCTTTCTTTTTAAGGGTTTTCTTCAGTGTAATAGGCACTAAACTAGAATAGTTTAGTGATAGGAAGACAGAAACCTGGAAATGTTCCCGGTTCAAAAGGGAAAAGGCTGTTTGCCCAGTTTCATTTAATAAGTTTCGCTTACAATCCCCATACTTGCCACAATCTTCAGGAGGCCTCTATCACTGAGATGAACTCTCAGAAACTAGAACCATGGATATATATTTTCCAATATATTTCTTAAGCACATTATATAGTGCTTTATCAGATCTAAATGCTCTATAAAAAATACTAAGTATCTGATCAAATTAGGGTATGAACTCCTTGAAGGCAGTAACCACACATCCTCCGTGTGGGTGCTAGGGAATAGTGGATGTTCAATTATTATGCACTGAATTGAACTGAAGGAGTCAATGTTGATATCAGTATACCTTTATCATAAAAATTATTTATTGGCTGTTCAAAGGGGAAACTATTCCACTTCCACTGGCCCATTTTCCCCTTTTGATGCTCAGTGAACCAATAATTTGTTTAAATATAGACCACACCACCCTGTGGCCCTGCCTTGGCCCTTTTGTGTTACCTAACTCAATGGAAGAGAGTGAGATGAACAGGTGGTCCCACATGGGTGTCCTGTCCAGTTTGTAATTATTCCCTCTCCATTGAAAATACTACTACCAGCTTAGCATGCCTGTAATCCCAGCACTCTGGAGGATGAGGCAGGAGCATCACCACAAGTTCGAGGCCAGCCTAAACTACATAGTGAGTTCAAGGTCAGCCTGAGCTATATAGTGAGACCCCCGTCTTAAAAAAAAAAAAAAGCCACAACACAGTTCCAACAGTCTCAATCGGTAAACGACTGAGCCCCACTCCTGTGCCCTCTCTCCAACCCAGGGATACAGATAAGAGAGATTTAAGTCTTTGTCACTGAAGCTAATTTTGAGAGCGATGAATGGGAGCAGGGAGGAATTTAATGGACCATGGACACCCCACCCTTCCCATGCCCAACCTTGGTCTTTTGTACCCGATTGTCCAAGGGGCTGGAGATGGGTCACTGCCATGAGGAGAGAGATCAGGGAGGCCAGTCCTGGAAAAAAAAGATTTTTAGGATTATCGATCAGGGCGATTTATGTGGTCCCTTTTATCAAGCCACCTTACCAATGCAAATGCTAACCCTCCCCCTCAGCTATCCAACCCCCATTTGTTCTAGTTATTCATCCTAAAAGACAGGAAGAAAGGGCCATCCTGTCTTGTCTCTGCTGAGATAAAGCTCCACACTTGATTTCCTGCATGCAGAAAAGAGACAGAAGAGAGAAGCTTTTCCTGAAGATTGTGTGTGACAGAGAATTTCAGTCACCTTTCCTGTCTTCTAGTACATGTACGCTAATTACTAGTTCCCCTTGCTTCTGGCCAAACCTAGGAAGAGTACACCTGCTGGTCCTCTCCATTTAAGGGCATTTTGGGTATAAAACTAGAAAAAGATCTACTAACTCATAGGGAAACACCTGGCTGAAATTTCATTCTTTTTAAACCTAATAAGGAAATAAGAAGACACAGGTCATTTTCTTACCGTGCTTGGGTACAGTTATTGCCCTGAACAATTTACACTGAAAAACAAAACGTCCTCAGTGGTCCCCAGAATAACTCCAAACCTGGCCTGCTGCCCTAATCCTCCAGTTCCTATCCTTTCCCTGTTTCCTGAGGCATGGAAATTTCACCGATTAATAGCTTCACCTCACCTTTGTGACCCTTTCCTCTCGGCACCGTCTCATCATACCCAGGTTCCCTCCCCCAGTAATCAAAGATCAGCCAAGTCTAAAGCTTTTGCCACATGTCCATCCTGTTGGCTCTGGTCCTGACCCAGGAAATGCTAAGCAAAAGCTATGTGCGGAGACCCCAGACCCAGACCCAGTCAGCTGGAAAAAGTGGTCCCACAAGGTGCTCCTTGTGATCATAACTGGCCCTCAAACCCATCTCCCTTCAAGTGTCCAACAGCCCATCATGACTCCAGTCGGGGTGAGGGACCAGGACGGAGGTATCTGTCCGACATGATGATGTCACTGGTGAGCTGCTGTTCCAGGAACTCAGAGGTCTCCTCAGCTATCTGGCCTGGGATTCGAAAGTCAACAGCAGGTGGCTCCTGCTTAGGGCTGGGTGGAGGCCTGGAAACCCAGTTCTCGGCAGCACAGCCCGTCCCCTGAAGGAACTGCAGGAAGTTCTCCTCAATGGAGCCCTCCCTACTAGGCAGCCTCAGCTCCTCCTCTGGAGCAGCCTTGAAGAAACAGACAAACTGCTTGCTGAGCTCCCCCCGGATCTGCCGGTTGAGACATCCATAGAAGAAGGGGTTGGAAGTGAAGCAAAAGTAGCCAATCCACGTCACCACACTCTCCACCTGCCCAGTTGAAATGGGCTGAGCACTCAGGGCAACGTAGAGATGGAAAGAGAAGTAGGGCAACCAACAGAGCAGGAACTGTCCCCCCACAGCCAAGAGGATCACTGCTGCCTTCCCTCCCCCAAACGTCCGGTGTGGCGTGGTCTGCGGGGCCCCGGAGCTGGTGACCATAGTGGATCGGCTGCTGAGAGACTCAGAGCGCTGCCGGGGCGTCTCCATCCACGTGGGCAGCGGCCCATGCTGCATGGCAGCAACACGAGCCACTCGGAACATGCTGCAGTAGACCACAAGGATGAGGAGCAAGGGCAGCAAGAAGTAAAGGATGGCAAAGACCACCACAAAAAGCTGGCAGTAGGCACTGTGGCTCCATTGGAGTGAACAGCCTGGGGGGACACTGGGAGCGCCTTCCTCCCAGGACACTCTTCCCAACACTGGCACAGAAGCCATGGCCAGGGCCTTCACCCACACACCCACCAGCACAGAGGCTACCAGCCCCAGCGTCATGCGCACCTCGTAGCGCATGGGGTGGACCACGTAATAGTAGCGCTCCACATTGATGGCCGACACAGAGAGGATGGCCAGGCTGACAAAGCACACACTCAGGAACAAGTAGAGGCGGCAGGCCACCTCTCCAAAGAGGGCATGGTCAAAGAGGGCAGAGCTGGAGAGCATGGCCAGAGGCATGAGGGTCAGGGCAGCCAGCAGGTCCACCAGGCAGAGGTGGAAGACAAAGACAAATTTTCGGAGGGCAGGCGTCTTGGCGATAACAGCCATCACAGCAGAATTGCCAGCCACGGCAGTCAAGTCCAGCAGGAGCATAAAGAAGAGGGCCACAGATTCTGAAGCTATGTCCCGCAGGCCCACCTCCGGGACCCCACTGGCAGTGGAGGGACCTGGAGTTTGAGGAACCCTTCCCAAAGTGGAAGAGTTCCCTGATGACTGGGGGATGGGTGAGGACTCCATGGGGCCGAAAGAGGACACCCAGGGCACCTCCTGTCACAGGCCCATCCCCCATCCTAGTCCACAACCCTGGGATGGCGAGCCCAGGCCCAGGCTTCTCAATTTCGTGGGGGAGCTTCTGTTGCAGTCTCTTGGACAGGCTCGTACCACCAGCCTTCAAGACTGGGCTCCTCTGTGGACAGAGTCCCAGGCTAGGCAGCCATGGGCTCAGGAGCTCTTATGGTCTTTCTGGCAGGAGGTAGCTCCAGGCTCGGCCTTGGTGACTGGGAAGAAGCAGGAGACATGACAGGAATGGAGCTCTGCCTGCTCAGCTGCACTCCACCTTGTGAGTGGCTTCTGGCTCCTCCTTCTGCACTTGCATTCCTCCGTTCTCCATCTCCTCCCTTTTCAAGGGCTGTTATTCAGGGATTGTAAATCCTATGTGTCCCTTTCCCAGGGTCTTGCTGAGCTCTGGGATGGTGCCCCAGCTTTAAGGTTGCTTATGTGACTTTTCCAATTTCTGGTATTCCTTGGATGGGAAGTAGAAGGAATACAAACTTGGCTTCTGGTCTCAGCTCTGGGCATTACTAACTCGGCCACTCTTCCAGATTCCAGTTTCTCAAAAAGGCATCTGTAAAATAAGGGAATAGTATCTGCTTCATAACTACGTTTGCAGGGAGCAGTGCGATTTGTTAATAGCAATCCTAACCACAAGCAGTAATGTTTACATGGTGCTTTCCACATGCTGGGCCCTGTTCTCAACAAAAACAAACCCATTTTAATCCTCACACAACCCTATGAACTAGATATTATTCTTATTCCATTCTGCCAGGGATAAACCTGAGGCCTAGAGAAGTTAAGGAATTTAGCCAAGGTTACATACTTAATAAGTGGCAAGGCCCAGGTACCCACCCAGTCTGACCCCAAGGCCGTTCTGTTGCCCACCGTGCCATGCTGTGTAGGAGAATGCCCTCCACCTTAGCTGGAATATAGGAGGCTTCCAGTGAGCCATTGTTGAACTTGACCTGTAACTAAAAATGTCTCTCACTGCTCTGAGGCTTTTACCTGGTAAGGGGAACTGAGCTTTAGTTTCTTCTGACATCACCACTCCCCAGACAAAGAGCCACCACTTTGGAAATTTTGAGAAGGATCAATGAACGCAAAATGTCTCCATTGGAAGGAAACTAGGAGGCCAGTCTGTCCAGCCTAATGGGCTCCCAAGGCTGGAAGGCCATAATTCACTTGGAAGCTGCCCTTCTTCGCCTGCTCTTTAGTTTCCGAAGGCCACTGTGCCCTTGCCAGTGCAAGAGGAGCGGCTCTTAACCTCCTGTTCCCCACTCCCCATATCTGTGGTCATTGGTGCTGACCCTTTGAGGTTCCTGTCTGAAAGCCCTCTTGGTTCTGGACTGTTACCGCGGTCATAGAACACGGAGTGGGAATAGGTGCCCCTGAAGAGGTAGGTAGTGAGGGGGTGGGGAGAGCAATGTGATTGTGGAACTGAGTGAGCGCAAAGCAGAGAAGACTGGAAGAAATAAAAATCTCTCACCGATCAGGTGGTAGATCACATACGTTTTACATGTGTTATTTTCCATATTGAGTTTGCATGTAGTTGATTTCATTTACATATGTAGTGCAAATTCTCTCAATATAGTGTACCCAGTTATGCAACTTAGTACCAAATTGCAGGCATGCCAAGTCTGGTGGCCTTTCTGTAGACCAAAGTTCTCTGGGCCACAGTTTTCTCATCTGTGAAATGGGAGAGTTGGACTGACTAACCTCCAAGGTTCCTGCAAGTAACATTTCATTACTCTGTGAGTTCCTGGGATGCAGAGAGCCTGGTGGTTGCTCAGTTTTAAAACCTATCATTTCTGTGACTGCAATGAAAAGGACCACACAGCTATCAGGGCCTACTTTTCTCCAGTTATCTTACAATCACTAGGGTTTTGGTGCTACCATCAATCTTGATTAATACAACTTCTAACATGCCATATAAGCAGAAGGTGCTCAATGATATTTTTTGAACTGAGTCAGACTCAAATTGATTAGTTGAATCCCTGCCCCCTAACACATACTCCAAGAATACTCAATCAGTCATCTGTGTGCCAGCCAGGGAACTCTCTTCTGGAAAGGATAACTCAAGACTCCAGGATTGGAGACCACCCTGACATCGGATGAGATCCTGGAGACATGCCTCTCTCCAGGGGTAGTAGAAAGCTCATTTCACAGCTGAGATGGCCACAGAAACTCAGGTTCTGTAGAGATGAAGAGAGGGCACAGAACTGGAGACATCAGCTTCTCATAAGACAAGAAAAAGGCCTGACAGAAATACCAAAGGAAGCATACATGTCCCTTACTTTTCATGCCAGAATTTCCTCATTCCTTCTACCTGCAGATGGGGACCAGAAGATGTGGCTGTCAGTCCCTAGTAAGGAAAGGCCTACCATGGGTGGATAGACAGCAAGGCCCAGATAGGGTCCCAGACTGAGGGAAGTAGACGTGGTTTCCATTTGGAGGGTGTTGTGAAGCCACGATGGAGTTCTAGGCAAGACAGCATTGGACATTTCTCTTTCTCATAGCCCCCTCGGCATTTCCCCAAATTCCAGGATTCCAAATTACTGCTTAAAGACAGACCAATGTAGCAGACCACTGGGCACTCCCCCTTCCCTGACTGACTGGGTTATAGAGGGGAGGGCCATGGTGTAACAGTTTCACAGAGAAAACCCAGAGAGCCTTACTCCTCTCCTAGCTCATGTCATCATGCTTCAACTCCAGCAACGCTCTCATCCTCCCACTGCTTCCTTCCAACATCACCCCCATCACCTCCAGGACCTCTTAGTCCTGGAAAGGCTTGTCACCTCTGGGACTAAGGCCTGGCCTCTAGCAGGGGCATGGCCAAGTTATATATATATATCCTTGTTTCAGAATGCAAAATGCACATAAGTGTCCAGCTCAAGGCCATAGAGGTGTCTCTGGAATTTAGATGCACCTGTTTCTCAGATTCAGAGCTTCCACCCCAAGGATCAGAGCCTAGCCTTCCTTCTGGCAAGAGTGTGCCCCTCCTGAGCCAGGGAAGATTTCTAGGGAGCTTCAGCACCTCTCCCCAGCAGAGTTGCCCATGCCCAGGACATGGATGTCCACCAGCCTCGATGCTGAAGGACTCATTCCTAGGATGTGGGGGACCCATCTCCATGACCCAGAGCCAAAGAGATGGAGAACGCTATCTGTTGCAGGATGTGGCTACTCCTGCCAGCAAGAGATGACCAACCCCCATCTCTAGGCTTCAGAGATGCCCACACCCCAGTACTGCCTCTGGGATACCTGGGAGTCTGTCCTCTGGCAAAACTGTCCACCATAGGGTAGGGTGAGCTGTTCTTTGGAATGCAACCCTTTTTGTAAAGTACCACAGCACTCACCACCAGGCCCCCGGTCTGTCCCTCATTCCTGGCCTAGTCGGCAACTCCTACCTTTGCTGAGCAGCTCCCGGCTCCCATGTGATAGCTCCTCTCAGCTGATGCTTCTCCAAGGCTGCTGAAGCCTGAACCACTGCAGTGAGCAGTGAGAGGCAGCCGGCAGAGCAGGATGCTCGAAGAGCTTCTGGGTCCTAATGGCCTCCTGCTTCCCACACAGCCCCTTGGAGCCACTTCTGGAGCAAACCGCTGGGCACCAGTGCCCCAAGCAAAGTGCGCAAGTGTGAGCCCAACTCCTCTCACTTCCCTCAGGTTGCTGGACTACATCTCAAAAGTTTCATGTGGCCAGGTGATGGTAGGCAGAGGAGACCTTTTGATCAGTCTCAAAGAAAAAAAGCACTTAGAATCAGAAAACTCAGCTTTAGGTTTTGGTTTTTTATTTGTTCAAAGGGATTGTAGGAAAGATGATCCTGAGGTTCCTGACAGTCCTGTCATTGTAGCATTTTGTGTGACATCGGGACTAAGTTGTTTTTGTAGCAAGCAGATTGGTTCAGACACAGGGCCCCCAGGTTAGGCCAAAGAAGGTCTGAGGCTCCAGGGAATGCTGCAGGTTTAATTCCTTTGGAAGCTGCCATATCTTCGTAGAAAACAGGTTGGAGGGTAACAGGTTTGAAGGGGAGCTGAAGGTCTTATCCCTGCACCCTCCCCCAGGCACATGACTGTTTTCTTACCTTATATGTTTATTTCGCTGAGAGTACGATAGAGATGGGGATCTAACATGTCTCTGAGCTACCCTATTGTACCTCAGCAACATTGCTCCCTGAAGGCAGGGTGGGCTGAGCACTTAAGAAGGCTCCACTAGCGTGGCTTTCTTTGTACAAGCAGACAGCGCCAGGGGGCATCATCCATGGAGCACCACTCATCTATGAGTTGAGGCTTTGAAGATGAGATGAGGGATGTGGATTTCTACTAGAGGTGAAGAAAATGGTCAGTTCCCCGGGTACGTGACTGTTACCAGGACAGGGTCCTAACACGGCAGAGCTGCAGGGCATTCTCCAGGCTATGAAACCCTCATTCCTGAGATGAAAGATGGCTCAAAATCACAATTTCCCCATGGAAAAGCCATGAGCCTAGACAGGGAATCAGACATGATACCTGCTCAAGAGCCTTCTGCTCCGGGACTGGTCTAAGAACTCTTGTCTCCAAAAAGAAAAGGGAATTCTAAAACTGTTTATTTGAGCCAAGCCAAAGAATTATAAGATCAGTGAAATACACAGGGAACTCAGAAGGGCAGAATGGCTGCCTCCAATCCCAGGTCAGCAACAAAGAGGCTACTGACCCACCCAGAGCTGATCCAGTGATTTCTGCTATCACCAGTCACCATTTCTTGAGCTCTTATTAGTATCAGGCCTTCAATATGTAGTAGCGTCAATGCTTACACCGATCTTTGAGCAGACATTACTTACCCTAGTTTACAGGTAAGGAAACAGGGTCAGAGGTGAAGTGACTCTCCCCAGATCAAGAATGGCCAGAATCAATATTCAAACCGGGTCTGTTTGAGTCAAAGTATCTACTCCACCCTCTCTACAGTCCTGACATGACACAGAAACCCAGACTGACATGGCCCCCTTACAGGGGATTCGGAGAGAATAAGAGCAGACACGGGCTCTTTGGGACAGGTTTATAGAAATAACGCTAGACTGGGATCAGAAAACTTGGATTCTAGTTTGGCTCTACTACAGTGGTTGGTGGTAAGAACTTGACCTGTGAATTAGCTGTCTATGTTAGTTTTTGTATCTATAAAATGGGCAAAATTCTTCACATTTCAGCTTATCTAAGAGGGATAGAGAGCTGAGATGCCAACTTAGCCTGCTTCTCAGGCTTAGGAGAACTAGTATAGTTGCCAGTTACCACGGCTGGCCAAATAGCTGATGTGGTGGTCAGTGGCAAGGTCATGAAGCCTCTCCTAGAGAGCCATTGGTGAAGGCGGTATCAAGCGGTGGATCCTAGAACATCCTTTCAGATGCTGGAAGTCATCTTGGCTCAAGGGAGAGACAGACAGAAAGAGAGAGGTGGGGAAGCAGGGGCAAGGTTGGTAGGGGCAAGCCTAGGGGCAACTGGTAATAGTACTGACCAAACAGTGATGATGATGATGATGACAGTTCTCGAGGCCCACTCAGGGGAGGGAATATCTCGTTAAATTACCTCAGTCAAGGTTTGGAGGGTTGACAGCACATCTCCTACCCCACACTGCCAATCTCTCCTTTTAGAGTTTATTACGATGGAGAAGGTGAACAGGCCAAGGTACAGATTCTGGGTATGGCCCCCCAACCACATCAGCAATCTGTAGTCCACCATCCACACCCAGGTCCCCTGTTCTAGGATGGGGACTAGGTCTCCTCCCAGTAGTGGTGCTCTTCTCAGTGCGTGGTGGGACCCTTGGCTCTGAGGACAGATACTTCCCTTCTAGACTTACTCCTTGGTACAGCCGTGGCCCGCCCTTGCCCACAAGCACCTCTTGACAGGGCTTGCTCTACCTGCCCAGCCTTTCCTGGCCAGGATGAGGCTCTGAAGCTGACTGAGGTTACCTTGCATTCATGCGTCTATTTGTTAAATACGGAATATGTTCTAGGTTCCTATAGCTCCCTCCCTAGAGCCCCTGTCTGTTTAGTGGCACCCATTGCTCTCCTTCTCCTCTCTCTCTGCCTCCGTCAAAACCTGTTCTCAGGAAAGACATTGATAAATTCATTCACAGTGATAGCAGCTTAATGTGTTCTCTCTCCCAGGAATATTAACAATTTAACAGGAAACAAAGGGAAGAGGCAAAATGCTAGGATTCCAGCTTCAATAAGGGGTGTCCCTGAAATCCCACAACATAGACTGAATGCCTATTCAGCCTCCTACTCCCCAGCTGGGCCTCTCCTCAGGATGCCAGCGTTGTGTCTTCTCTGCACCCACCTCCATCCCTAAGGACACCCAACCCTCCCCACCCAGAGAGCAGACTCCCAGCCTCACCCCTGTGGCCAAGGTCCCAGCTTTTCAGAGCCCCACTGCACCAGCACCACCCGTGCCTGCTCCCCAGGAACGCTACCCCCACTCCCAGCCAGGGCCAGGCTGGGGGGCTCAGAAGGAGGCAGAGGAAAGCAGAGGTGAGAGCCTTTCCGTTCGCTTTATTCCCCCACAGTCTGGCCCACACCCCCCGCCAGGAGCCAAGATCCAACGGTATATTCAGCCTGCAGCTGCCACTGGTCATGTGAGCCCATTGCTAGGTTACAGGGACCCAAAAATAAATCCTTCCCAACCAGATTAGAAACTGGGGGCCTCGAATGAACCAGGCTCAAAGAAAGGAAGGAACATCCACAGTGCATGTGCAGGCCAGGCCACGCTGCCCACCTCCTGTCCCTCGACCCTGGCTCAATCTAGACCCCCAAAGAAAAATTTCAGGCAGCTTTTGGATCCTAAGAATACAATAAATAGATCTACAGGCTGAACGGCCATCCTCACTGGCCATTAGGAGCAACCTGAGCAGCATCTCTCTGTTATTCCTGTCCAATCTCTGCGTCATCGGCTGTTCCTCCATATGCCCCGCCCCACACCCATTGCCCTGACAAAGCAGCATTCACCATTTGCCCCAGGGCCTGGTGACAATCAGTTCCAATCATCCTTTTCCAGACTCAGGCAAGGAGATCTAGCAGTAGGCATAGTGCTGGATGTTTTCCCACAGTCTTACCCGTCTCCTGGGTTAGTTTCAATAACTCCATTTACGGATGGGAAAAGTGAGGCTCAGAGAGGTTAAGTTGGTTTCTCAGAGCCACCCAGTTGAGTTACTGGGATTCAAACCTGGGTCTGCACTTACCTGGACTAGGGATAGGGCATGGAAAAAGACAGGAAGCACAGTAGAGGAAGGGGGATTGCTGAAAACCATTCCCTCATGCCTGCTAACTTGCTCTGAATTGGGGATGTTGCCTCTGCCTGCCAGTCACTCCACTTTCTCCAAGGCAGAGTACAGCTTAACCAGGCCACGTGCCTCCTTCCCCACGGCTTCAGGCTCTGTCCTCTCTTCCTGGACCAGGGTGGGGTCATTCCTGCTGCTGGGTCTCGGTGGGAGACAGAGGCAAACCCTGTAGGACGCTGCCATGGCAGTAGAATAACAGAGCTGAAAGGGCCCTAGGAAGCCAGGTGGCTAACGGCTTACCTTACACACAAATAGGCCCAGAGGCAGCAGTAGCTTGTCCCAGGGTACCCGGGTACAGCGGTAGAGCCTGAGGGAGGTACAGCCAGAAGCTAAGCCTCCAGGCTCTTAACTTTTTTTTTTTAACCTGTCATTAAGGATGCAAAGACTTGGCCAAGGGCAACCTAGAGTGCGGTACCCTTCCTCAACCCACCACACGGCCCTTCCAGCCGCGTGTTCTCTTCAGGAAAGCACACCTCTCCCTGGTCAAGTCCTAAGGAGGCCGAGATGCCCATGGCTTCTCTGTACACTCACTCCACCCTCCACCCACACACACTGTGCACGCTTCTACAGGCCCCTGAAACCCCAGAACAACCCGTTTCCACCTCCTTCCACCTGGACAGCCCAAACGGCAGGCTTCATTTCTTTCAAGTCAAGAAATATGCATTGATCTCCTGTTCCATGCAAAGGGAGAGAAATACAAAGGGATACAAAGACGAGATGAATACAAACCTTGCTCTCTTGGTGCTTGCAGTTGAGGATGGAACAAAGCAGATTATAACCTTTGAGAGAGTCAAACTGATGGGGAGATCTGAAGAAAAAGTGGACCAGTACTCCCTCAGGAAATCCAGGAGGGCTTCCTGAAGGAAGTGACATGGGTCTTAAAAGGGGATTAAAAAAAAACTTTTAAAGTTATTAATATTTTAAATTAACACATAGTAGCTATTAACATTTATGGGGTACAGTGTGGCTTTTCAAGACATGCATACATCATATAATGATTGGATCGAGGCAATTAGCATATCTATTACCTCAGACATTTATCATTTCTTTGTGTTGGGTACATTCAAAATTTTCTCTATTAGCTATTTTGAAATATTCAATTAGTTGTTGACCATAGTTACCCCACTGTGCTATAGGACATTAGAAGTCACTTCTGGGAGCTGAGTGAGGCAACACACACACCTGTCCAGTACTTGGGAGGCTGAAGTAGGAGGATCATAAGTTTGAGGTTAGCCTGGGCTGTATAGTAAGACCTTACCTCGACAAAACAAAACAAAGCAAAAAATCACTCCTGGGGTCAGGATTTAAACTGGGAGCAATGAAAAGCGGGTGAGGAGGAGACTAATCCAGGTGCAAAGAGCTGGCTGGCAAATCATGAAGAATAGCAAGTTTAAGAAATACCAGGGCACTGTGAGGTGTCAAGTTGAACTGAAAAAGGATGCGAGTGTCAGGAAGCAGTGAGAGGAGAAAGGTAGACCTGCAGGATCGTAAAAGGCCCCGCAAGCTGGGGTGAGAAGCCGGGTGGGGGAATTAGCACCACAAAAGGCTTTGGCAGGGAAACTCAGGACCACAAATGTGCCCAGCTCTTGTGTTCTTGTGGGTCGGTCATGAACTAGGGCTTTTCCTTGTTCGGGCCCAGAGCGGGGAGCACAAGAGCATACAGGTCCGGAGGGAGCTGGGGCATGTGAACTATGGAACCAGAGGAAAGACAGGTCAGAGATAAGGAGACAGAGAGATCAAATGACACCTTTGCTTCCAGGCAGGGCCCTCAGTGTGTACTGACCCAGGTGCCTCTATGTGATCTCCATTCTTTAGAGAGGAGAATAAAGAGGGGCAGAGTGGCGATTTGAATGCCTAGAAATTCTCCCTGTAGGTTTGTGGTGTCATAAGAAGTTGCCCAGCCTGATCTGCGGGGACGTGGCACCCTGGATCACTCAGCCTGGGATGACAGCTCAAGGTCAGTCTCCTTAGCTCTGGCCTGAGAATAGGGAGCTGGGCTGGATTTCCTGGGGGTGCCAGGGAGCACTCTCAGGAGTGTGGGAGCGTCCCTGCTCCACATTTCTGGGGCAGTCACCCCCAAGTGTCTCATTCCCAGCCAGATTCGATCCTGCTGAACCCCAGGGCACCCTGACTCTTCCCTCTCCAGGGTGGACACAGCTGGGCTGTGATCTTGGCCTTGTGGTTGCTTTCTCAGGCATTCTCCTTCACTTTTGCTATACTCCTGGCCCACCTAAAACCAGGACCACCCCCTATTCAGTTCGCATGCCCCTCTGCCCAAGGGAGAGTCACACTCCCAGGCCCAGAACTTTCCCAGGCTCCTTAGGGATGGAGCGATGGTTGTAAGTGACCTCTCAGAGCGGGGTGATGCTAGTCTTCGCTCATCTTCCTGGGGATCCTTGTGGAGAATGGCATGTGGGAGCTGTCTCTCCAGTGGCCTAATGTGCAGGGATAATCTGGGAGGATCTAAGCCAGCCTCCCACTGAGGGAAGGGTCCCTGGATAGTGAGGAGCTGGGTGGGAAAGAGAACACAGCTGCTCTCTTTCAGGGGCCTCAAGCTGCAATGACTGACATGAACCACACAGGGGCAGTGCCACCCACAAAGCTGTGAAGAATCAGCTACAATCTCTAGGGACAGGTTTCTCCCTGCAAAACCTCTCCGCCTGCTTTCTCCTTCCTGGGACTTGGAAACGGTGGGTCCTGACCTTTTCACACTGTCGCAGTCTCAGCTGGAAGAACCCGGTAGGATGACTCCCAAGAGTAAATACCTCCTACTCCTAGGAGGTTGTGAGGTAGATCTGGCAGGCTGGGGTCCCAGGAACAGCGCCGAGTGAGCAGCAGCATGCAGCCCACCTATGTTCAGATGCAGCACTGGGGGCTCCTCTCCTACCTTCACTGGGCCCCAGTTTCAATGTGGTCAGACGACGATTCCAGACCTTCTCTAAAGTCTTTTCCACCCTGCATCCTGACAGTCTGAGTCAGCACCTGCTGTCTTTGTGTGGCTTTTCTCTCCAGGGCCCTGATAGCTTCAGGCTCAGGGCCTGGGCAGGTAGGTGCAACCTTGCAAGAAATGGCAGTGAGCTCTGTGAGCTAAGTCTTGCTCTCATGTCACAATCAGGCTAACATGCAGCCCTAGGACCAGGAAGGGGCCAAGGAAGCAATGAATGGGGTTGGCTGGGTCCCAGAAAGAACCCTCTAAGGGGCTTCATCTGACTCTGAATGGCAGGAGGCAAGAGTCTGCACGGGGATTTCCCTCCTAAGCCAGGCAACCCAAAAAGCCATGTGGCTATACTGAGCTACTTTGAAATAGAGGCAACAGAATGCCTGGACACAGTGTCTTGCAGGCCTGCTTACTCCAGACTCACGCAAAAGGTCCTTCTCTACTCCCTACACTGTTCCAACTCGTGCTTCCAGCTCCTTCCCGAATATCCCCCTGTCCCTCATGGTAGAGCCCACAGCTTCAATTCTAGGGGAGGGTCTCTGCCTGGCTTTCCCCTCTCTGGACTTCCCGGCCTGCTCCCAACTCTGCAGATTGGCCTCTGCTTGCACTCACTGGGCTCTGTTCCCTGTGCCTCTCTGACCCCAGCCATTGTCTCCCAGCGCCTGTAATTTCACACCAGGCCCCTGGACACTTTCTGCTCATCACCTTAGCTTCCCCGGTGGAACACCTGATCTGGCACCTGGGGCCTGACCCTCTAAGCATAAGGTGTGTCCTGGTTCTTTTACCTTATCACCTCCGTCTTCCTCGATGCCCCATTTTCTTGCTGTTTCTGCCTCTCACATTCGGCTTATCCTTGCTCTCTGCAGCCTGTTCTCGGAGTTCTCCAAGTCTCTGAGTGTCCTGGCCACGGGCCACTGCTCCTCTGCTGCTCGTCTGTGCCTCATTGTACACCTTTCACTTGCCACCTCTTTCTCTGCCTCACTTCCTCCTCTGCAGTGAGTGCACTGAGCTGATCCAGTCCTCCCTGGACAGAGGATATAAATAGCAAGGGAGGCTGGGTTAGAAGCCAAATTTGCCTCCGGTCCTCCTTGCTGCCCAGACTTGGGCATCCAGGACTTACTGTGGGGAGGGTCTCTAGGGTAGGGAGCTAGAGGGTCAGGGTAGAAGGCCACTGTGTAGAGTAATGGACAGGATCGGAGAAGTGTGAGGCAGAAAGCTGGGGGTGGGGGGATTCAAGTTCAGGTCAGGTTCTCCCTCAACATGATGCTGAAGTCTTGAATTCTGCTGCTGGGGAAGGAGCTCTGGGCCAGAAACCCTCCCAAGGTCCGCTCGCAAGCCCTGATCACTCCTCCAGGGCGCAGATGCATGGGCCCAGGTGGCTGCCAGCATACAGCAGCTGGGGACTGGAGTAGAAGTGGCGCCCTCAGGAAACAGGCCACACGCTCTCCCCAGCTAGCTCTCCCCAGCCTAATTAGAGACCGGAACGGCATTGATCGTCCCTGAGCTCATTATGTCACAGCTGGGGAACAGCTGGCCAGTCTTTTCCAGGCCATTAGCTGCGCCATGAAGTGGAGAGGGGGAGGGAGTGGGTGAGCAGGATCAATACCCTGTCTGTCTGTGGGGGAAGAGGGTTGGTGGCTGCCTCCTCTAGCACTCTGGGCCGTGCTTCTCCCGGGGCTGCAGCACTGGCGGAGCTCCTTGGAGTTCACCTCAGCTCCTGCCATCCTGGGCCTGGAGAAATGGATTCCTGGCTTCTGTACAGATACTGACTTGGCCCAGGGGAACCCTTGGAGCCTTCTGTCTCAGGGGATTGGGAAAGGTGGCAAAGAGTCTGATTACCTACCCATGTCAGAGGGGACCTAAACGTCCAACTCCTCTCCACCCCTTGAACAAGATGACACCTAAGGCAGCTGTTTCTATTGGCCCAGGGCCACCTCTCTGTGCCCCTGGGCTCAGCTGGATTTGGTTTCCTTTCAGGTGGGGAGGTGGCAGGGGATCCGCTGGCCCTTGGGGAATAGAGGCACTAGAAGGAGGGAGGGAAAAGACAACAGTTCTCACTCACTCTCCCTCGGCTTCCCCTCCTGGCCTGGGCAAGCAGCCAGTCATCTGGGCAGTGCTGGAAGCAGGTGCCCACACCGCCTAACCCCGGGAGTCCCACTATCCGGAGGAGGCCAGCATTGTTTAATGAGCTAGCTTTTTGCTTATGGGGTTAGAAATTGTCAGAGCGGGAAGGAACCCACAAAGTATCCCCAGCCACACTCCTCATTTTGTGGAGGGGGAGCTGTAATAAGCCTTAAGATGCCTGGTTGACTCTGCTATGAGGTGCTCATTTCAGTGCTCCGTATTCCTCTCCCCTGTGCTCCTAGTGTGTTTTAATGTGGCCCTGAGGTCTCTCAAACACATGTCCTCAGGCCACCGACGGAGAAGGGTGGGTGGCTGGGCTCCTCTCCGTCCTGCTTCAGCTCCACCACAGGAAACAGTCGCAGTCTGAACAGAGGCCAGGCTGGGCACAGCGCTCTTTGCTCCCCAGATCCACACAGTGATCCCCATTTCCAGAATCAGAAGTGAGTGGAGCATTGGAATCAGCAGCCAGAATTCCAGACTTGAGTTCCTTCGGGGCCCAGCTCCAGTCCTGAAGAGCCAGCACATGGCTTTTACTAGATGTACACAACGGGCAGAAAGGCCTTTAAAATGCATTCCTTGTGTTGCAGATGAGGGGGCTGTATCTCAGTGAGAAGGCTCAGGCACACCCAGAGGCCCACTGGTGATCAGGCTTCCCAACTTCCAGATGGTCGAATGTGGTCCATTTTAGCACAAGGCCTCAGCTCTATATCTGTCCCAAGCTCCCACACCAAGCTCTTTCTCTGGGCTACTCAGAACAATAGAGGGACCAGGGTCAGCCAAAAGCATATTGGTCATGCCACTGCGACCAAAAGTACTTCATTCTCAGGTGAGACTTTGTCAGGTCAGGAGCAGCTGCTAATCAAAGGGTAGATCAGAGGCTGCTGGGCTCTGCTGTGTCTGACTTCAAGCCATCTGTCTGTCTAGGTCCAAGAAGGGCTCCAGGCAGAAGGAGCTGATGATTACTTGGTGTTGCTGGAACTCCCTGCAGCTTGATGCACAAGGATGGAATGAATTAGAAACAGCAAAGCTCCTTCTGCTGGCTTTGAGAAGAAAGGGAATGCCCATGTAGGCTAGGAGGTAACAAAGCAACAGGTCTGGGTATAAGGGAGCACACAAAAGGGAGCTCCAGGGGCCAACTTTCTGAGGTCGTTGGCAGAGTACCTCACCTTCCTAACCTGGAGAAAGACCAGCATGGGATGCTTCAGGGCCAGAGATCTGGGGTAGGTGGCATTGTGATAGGAGTGCTCTGAGAAGTCAAAGGCACAGGAAACAGAAGTCCTGAGGTAGGAAGGGGCCCCTGGGAAGGGAGGTGAGGGAGATCAAAAGATCTGCGTTGCAGAAGGGAGTTGTTAACATCCTTATGTATGTCCCATGGGTGCCTTTTGTGGATTTTGGCAGGTCCTAGATCTGATCAGGGCAAGTCCTGATCTGTGAAAAATGCTGAGAGAGTTATCTGCCTCCCAGGTTTCTGTGGCACTAAGGCTCACATGAGGGAATGTGGGTGAAAGCCTTCAGAGTGTTTCAAACCGTAATGATGATTTTCATTACCCTGCATTGTTACCAGCTCCCTTTCAGGTATGAGGTCTTAGGACCCTGATTCCTAAGTTGCCAGAGAATGGTTCACATCTCAACACTGTTTACACAATTATTTTTGTCAGGAGTGATAGAAGCTCAGGGGGCTTTCCTTCCAGAAGGGACTACCCAGGTCACACAAGCAGATGTTTCTGACTGTGTAACAGCATGGGGCCGGGGATATAGCTCAGTGGCATAAGCGCTTGCCTGGCAAGCCTGAGGTCATGAGTTCAATTCCCGGTACCAAAAAAAAAACAACCCCAGCATGAACCGGGCCCCACAGGGTCTCTGCTCACAGAAGGTGCTGGACACTGAGGCCTCCAAAACTCATGTGTGTGCACACACATCATACATACATGGACACAGACACGTGCCCCACAGCAAGCCCTGGTGGCCTTGCCCTCAATGGTGCCTTTCTAGGTGCTATGTCTCTTCCGTTCTCGGTTCATGAGCTCACCTCTAAGAATAACCACACTGAGATGGTAGCTGGATGAAGAAATGAGAGTCATAAGAAGTGAAGAGACAGTTTTACATTCATCAGTTGTGGTTTTCTGGGAGAAAAAAAAGGATACTACTATGATTTATATTTGCTGCCATGTTTTATGACTTACAAAACACTGGCACATATATTATTATTATTTAAGCCACATGGCACTTTTATGAGATGAGAACTGAGGCTTAGAGGGGTAAAGTAATTCTTTCAGGTCATCCAACTGGTAGGTGACAAATACTGTACTCAGTCTAGGCCACTTACCCCAAATCCTGATCGTTCTGTATGATACTTTACTGCTTCTCACCTCTGGTTAACTCTCAGCTCTTACCAACAGTCTTTCTTACCAGAGTGCAAAGGCACAGGACTGTTTGTTTGTTTGCTACACATGATTTTTAATTTTTAAATTTTGAAATAGTTCCAGATTTACAAAAAGTTGCAAAGAACTCCTGTGCACCTTCCACTCAATTCCTCAGTTTGTTCCATGTTTCAGTTTTGTCACACTTTCCCTCATGTGAGTCTCCTGTCCGTCCTACTTTGTATATATTTATTCATGGAAGTTCTGACCCATGGGAGCGTATGTTTCAGACATGTTGCCATTATGCCCCTTAACACTTCAGTGTGTATTTACTAAACAAAAAGATAGTCTCTTACATAACCACAGCACAACATGATGACTAGGAAATTAGACTTAATAGAAAACAACTATCAAATATAAATACCCATTCAAATTCCATTGACTCTTCTAATAACATTTTTTATGGATATACAGATCAATCCAGGATCATATGATACATTTAGTTTTCTTGTCTTTTGAGTCCATCTGGAACAGTTCCTTTCATAATCTTAGTGTGTGTGTATGTGTGTCTTTTGAGTCCATCTGGAACAGTCTTTCATAATCTTAGTGTGTGTGTGTGTGTGTGTGTGTGTGTGTGTGTGTGTGTGCAGTGAAAATTAAACTCAGGTCCTTGCCAGGCAAGCACTCTTCCAATGAGCTACATCTCCAGCCCTTGATAATTTGGAAGAATATAGTCAAGTTACTTTGTAGACTGTCCCTCAATGTGGATTTGCCTGGTGTTACCTTAATAAGTGAATTCAGGTTATATACTTTTGTCAAGAATACTATAGCAGTGATGCCACATTCTCAGTTCATGTCAGCAAGACCATCTGATGTCAACAACACAGTGCTGGTTTGTGCTGCTACATGGGATATTAACTTTTACCATTTACTTATCAAACTTTCACACTCTAGTTTTAACATCCACCGATAGTTCTTGCCTAAATCATTTATTACTATGACGGTAATCAAATGACAATTTTCTAATTTCATCCTTTTTCTATATTTCCATCAATTGGTATTCTAATGGAAGATAAAATCTTCCCTATCCACATAAAAATTCATCTATTTCTATTTTACTCAAAGGGTTACAGCCTAAATACTCACATTATTTATTTTGATGCCTAAATTGTCCTGGATTTGGACTGTGAACACATGCTGGGTTCTCTATCCTTTTGACAGATTTCCATCATTCCTTGAGCACGTCCTTACTTTCTAGCAAAGCAAGATGTTCCAGGCTCTAATTTCTATTAAGTGGAAAATGGTATTTAGAAGCCAAGACCTTGGTGCTTGGTGTGCTCACAGGCATTATATCTTTCAGAGAGAACATTTTCATTTATGCTAGAAAGATATATGTACACACATCTACATTTTTTATATTAAAAACATGAGGTCCCATTAATTCTCCAATTCTCACCTAATGTCACAGGATTTATTCCCTTTCCACATGTGTAATTACTATCACTACCCAAGAGAAGTATGGCTTCCATTGTCCTCGGTA